TTTTACATGATTTTCGTGAGGTCCATGTCCCCGGCACCCCCCATTGCGATTTTTGGGTCCAAACCCGGGGCGATCGTTTGTGCTTCGTTAGTGCACGTTAGTGCTTTTTATCCCGTCGTTAGTGCTTTATCCATTCCAAAGTTATTCGCATTTCGTACAGGGGGGTGCCGGGGACATGCCTGCACCCCCCATTTCGAATTTCGGGCCCAAACAAATTTCATTCGTTTGTGCTTCGTTAGTGCACGTTAGTGCTTCTCATCCCGTCGTTAGTGCTTTATCCGTTCCAAAGTTCGTTAGTCCTTCAGTGTGTTATTCATCCGGTCGTTAGTGCTCTACTCCTTCAAAAGTTATTGGCATTTCGTACGGGGGGGGGGGGGGTACTAGTGACGTACTAATTCGAGTCCAGTCCCAAAAGTTTTGTCTGAAACTCTTCAACACATTGAGGTTAAAATGATCCTTTGATGCATTGCAGTTAAATATCATAGTTTTGGGATTAAATTACTTAAATCTGGGTTTTATATATTATGTAAAAAAGAATGTTATTAAAATTTCATATTTATGCTAATTTCTGCCAAAAGCTTTAATAGATATAACTAAATAACTAATAAGTATATAACTTTAATTTGTCCATGCGTATATGATTTACCGATATTTAAAAATATCGTAGACAGCTGATCGATAAAACTGAGTATCTAATTTTAAAAATTCTCAAAAAACTACGTAAGTACCGGTACCTATCTATATGTACCTATAATATACCTATACCCCTTACCAAAACACTACCTCCTACGAATTTTATAATTCTTTTGTTGCAATTATTTAATAACTATAGGTATAATGTGTATGATTTATGTATGATAGGTGTTGATGTATGCTTGTTTGAAAAAATATGATTTTAAAATAAAATCGTTCGCGTTATTTGTGAATATTTAAAAGTTATTTGTTAGGTATTTAACCAATAATCAATATAGATCAACGATTCTACGACCTAATACTATAAATGTTATTGCGATACAGAACCAAGATAGGTAACTTTTATCCATTCTATGAGTTCTAGAACGCCAACCCCTGGATTATTCTAACATTAGGTGAAATAATATTAATGATACCATTGAGTATAATATATATTGTTGTACAATATAGGTACGTATACTCAATGATGATAGGTATAATGGTATAAATATTTTTTTTTTAAGTCCGGGAACAAATTTAATATTTTTTACGTAACTACCTATTTAGTGTATGATAATATATTATATATCTACCCAAAATATTTATGTTTGCCTATAACAGCTATCTATACCTACATCATTGCAGTTAATGATTATAAATTAGATAGGGAGGTATAGATATATAAAGTATAAAACCTGTATAAAAATCGATTTAAGAAATAATAATCGTGATTTAAAATAGCTAAAAAAACATTTGTATGTTCACAGTCTATTTTTTTTCACCACGGTAATTTCACAACGTTCAATGCAGGATGTCCCGCTTGAACACAATTATTTTACCGCGGTGAAAATCACGGGGAGATTTCACACTCGTTGTCCACCTATTCGCCGCTCACACAAAAATATTTACCGTATAGCATTTTACGGGGAGATTTCACACTCGTTGTCCACCTATTCGCGCCTCACACAAAAATATTTACCGTATAGCATTTTACAGGGAGATTTCACAAATTTTGAATAATTTAAGTAAAAAAACTTGTGTAAATATATTTAAGAATTCGTTTATATCAATAAAAAAATCTATTATAACATAATTTGTGTTCTGTACTTTAAATAATTATTTCATTTTAATAATAAGGTTTGTTGGGGAAAAAACCATTTAGTGTGTACACGGTAAATATTTTTGAGTAAGCGGCAAAACCGATTTTGAGTGTGCAAACTCCCTGTAACTTTAAAATACGGTAAATATTTTTCTGAAACGAAGAATTCGTGGACAAAAATTGTGAAATCTCCCTGTAAAATGCTATACGGTAAATATATTTATCTGAGGCGCGAATAGGTGGACAACGAGTGTGAAATCTCCCCGTAAAATGCTATACGGTAAATATTTTTATGTGAGGCGCGAATAGGTGGACAACGAGTGTGAAATCTCCCCGTGATTTTCACCGCGGTAAAATAATTGTGTTCAACCGGGACATCCTGCATTGAACGTTGTGAAATTACCGTGGTGAAAAAAAAATAGACTGTGAACATACAAATGTTTTTTTAGCTATTTTAAATCACGATTATTATTTCTTAAATCGATTTTTATACAGGTTTTATACTTAATACATCTATACCTTCCTATCTAATTTATAATCATTAACTGCAATGATGTAGGTATAGGTAGTTGTTATAGGCAAACATAAATATTTTGGGTAGATATATATATTGTCGTATACGCCACGCAAAGGCTTGACGTATATAACAGATATGTTTCGGTTTCCGATTCTCTAACCGTCGAACGAGTAAATTATCGACACCTGCTGTATGAGTTTAATTTAATTTCTCCTTTTGGTGACCACGATAACGAGTACTGCGCAAAAGGATAATTAAATAAAAGTCCAGCAGGATTTACACTATACAACTCAAAGGTTATTTTACTCCCGAACAACTGACCACGATAACGAGTACTGGATGTTCGAGGGTGAGGTATCTTTTACCTAGACAAATTCTTACTCTTTCTCGACTGACCACGATAACGAGTACTGGACGAGAAAGTAAGTACCACAGTGTCTTACTACCTGTTTTTAAAAGTGTTATTCACCACAACGTCTCTGTATCAACTCGTAAGATAAAATATTCTAAAAAAAGGCGTAAAGAAAAACAGTGACACTTGGTTTTTAAAAAAAAGAATTAAATATAATAAAATATATCAAAAAGAAATAATAAAAAGAAACGTAAAAATACTGCAGCTCGTTGGCTACTACAATAATCGAAACAAACAAAACAACAGCCCCGCTCCCGTCGCAGACGTCGCCTAAGTAGTCGTGGCAATTTTGCTGACTCGGTTTGATTGACTTTCTGCTTCGTATGTTATTTTAATATTTTATAATTTCGTTATATATACAACAATATTATCATACATTAAATAGGTAGGTAAGTAAAAAATATTAAATTTTCTCCCGGACTTAAAAAAAAATATATCTATACCCTTATACCTATCATCATTGTCAGTGCCGGCGCTGGGTATTGCAGGGCCCTGGACATAGGTAATAGAGGGCAAAATTCTAGCTTTTTTTAAATTAATGCTATTTTTATTTGAATTTTAAACATTAAAAATAATAATATCAGATTATTCATATCCCTTTTTTTTTTTATTAAAATGTATTAACAAAAAATTATTTACAAATAATAAAATAATATATATGTGTTGAAAATTATAATTTAATAAATTCGTGGGGGACTTATTATTTTATTAATTTATATTTATTTTAATAATCACAAAACATCAATTAAAAATAAATGAAATCATCAAAATGTTTGAATGATATAATAAATTGTTTAATATCTAAGTACGCGGTGGTAGACAATAAAATATGTTAAAACTAATCCTGATACACTAGATACGCAAGCGGTAGGTAAATATTATTATTTAATACTGCTATACTGTATCTAAACTGAATTGTAATAATAATTTCATAAAATGAAAACTTACTTTTATGATATTATGCAGAAATTGTTGAAAAAATACTCTAAGGGGAAAAGCGGACTGCAGTCAAATACTCAAATGTCGAACATATAATACTAGATAATCAAATAAATATTTTAAGAATATAGCTCTTGCCGCTTCTATAATACGGTCATACGACAATACGCGGAAAGCTTTTCCAAACAAAGAACAGAAAAACAATAACTATAAAGATAATAAATATTTATAATTATAATTATGGTTAGGTTACTCATTACTCTTACAGTCCTCGAGTATCGTCAAAATATTACTCCTTTGTCGTATCGATAACGATTTACTTTGTACTATGGCTAAATTTAGATATCATTTTCCAAATAATTAATGATAGAAATAATATTAATATTAATATATTATACATGTGCAGTATAGTACAACAAATGTATAGATTTATAATTTGTTAATATAAAATGTCAATGTGTTTCACGGTATTAAGATGATATTAAAAATCGCGGGGCTCGTTAGAAACTAGAAAGCGAGGGGCACTGAACATATGTCCTATTTGTCCTCCCATAGAGCCGGCACTTATCATTGAGTATACGTACCTATATTGTACAACAATATATTATACTCAATGTTATCATTAATATTATTTTTCAAGACAAAACTTTTGGGACTGGACTCGAATTAGTACGTCACTAGTACCCCCCCCCCCCCCCCCCGTACGAAATGCCAATAACCTTTGAAGGAGTAGAGCACTAACGACCGGATGAATAACACACTGAAGGACTAACGAAGCATAAACGAATAAAAGATTTTTGGACCCAAAATTCGAAATCTAAATTAGCATGTCCTTAGAACCCCCTGTAGGAAATTCAAATACAATTTAAGGGATGGAGCACTAATGACGGGATAAGAAGCACTAACGTGCACTAACGAAGCACAAACGAATGAAATTTGTTTGGGCCCGAAATTCGAAATGGGGGGTGCAGGCATGTCCCCAGCACCCCCCTGTACGAAATGCGAATAACTTTGGAATGGATAAAGCACTAACGACGGGATAAAAAGCACTAACGTGCACTAACGAAGCACAAACGATCGCCCCGGGTTTGGACCCAAAAATCGCAATGGGGGGTGCCGGGGACATGGACCTATTTTCGTGTTCATTTTTCGAGGCAATCCAATATTTTAATCTACTGTTTGGACTTTCTATATCGTCGATACTTTTGAAATCCCTTGCATAGAATTTGCGCTTCCTGAAATCATACAATATATAATTGTATAAATATAAAAATTAAAACATACCCGTACAAATAAATGTCTACTTAATATTGTCTATAGCTTAATACAAATAATAAGGGATATTTAAAATACAATTATACCTACATGGATTTTACAGGCATTGGTGTATCTATAATGGCAGAATTTATTGATTCATCTGAGTCTTTGAAAACCATTTGTTCTGGTATCATACCTTAAATTCAAAATTGTTAGTATAGTTATGCAACGATATAAAAACATAAATAATTAATTAGAATACATACATTGAGTATTCTGTTTGTCCAACTGACACTCACTATCACTGAGGAATGTTACATTCAAATTGTCAGGAAATACCTCAACGACGTCATTATTTTCACTTGGAAAAAGATTTTTATTGATAGCTACATTAAAAAACAGTAAAAAAAAATAGATATTGTAACACATTTATACTATGTAATATACCTAATGGTAGGTACTAACGTTTTTTAAACAAACTAGGTAGTGCAGATTTGTCCAAAACCTTTTTACCATATATTCCACCTTCAAAATAAGCTGATTCAACAAAATGTTTACTACAAATCACGGTATATTTTGTTTGCTGAAAATCTGGCTGAAATTGTCTTATTTGGTGGACCCATTGATCACCAATATTCCCTTTGGGTATACTAAATGAATATCATAGTTGAGTAATATTATATAATATGAGTACATAAAATTGGCAATATGATATCTACTCACCCATGCATTTTAATACCTTCTTCTTTAATGGTTGTTTTACAACCTTTAATAGAACAAGTTTTCATTTTTAGGTATTATTGTTGCCTATATGGCTATATACAATAAATATACCTAATAAATAAAAAACTTATTAAACTACAGCCGAAGCCCAAAGTGCCAATTAGAGGAGCTTGACGCAGGAAGTAGGTGCAATCATAGACTTAAAGACTTTAACTTTTAAGTTTACTTTAAGTCTATGAGTGCAATCGTTTGCAGTGATCACAGATCACAGCTATATTTAGTATACATAGTGCTATCTTTGATCGCGGGAATAGTTGATAATATCATGGAATAATTTGAGTATTAAATTATTTCCTCCATGGTTGCCCCCAACAGTTTGTATCTCTCTCATCAATGTCGATTTCATGATTTCTCTCTCTAAGCGCAGTCCATTTATTAATATGTCTATGGATATTTTCTATTTGCAGAGTGCAGCGACGGCGCCGAGTAGCGCAGCGACGAGTGCCGCAAACTGTGTAATCACTGTTGAGGTCCTCCGCGCGGTAATATAGTAGGTAGTGTTGCGCGCATGCATATAAACGAAAATTAAAAACTTTGGAAGGCCATAACTTCGAAACAAAGTGAGAGCGACAAATTTTGATTGCACCATCGTTCTTAACTCGATAAGTTACATAAGTTTCGATAAAAAAAATTCAAAATAGCGCGGGGGAGCTAAACTGCAATTGTTCCCGGGTTATGTATCCAATCCGCCATACACAAATGCCCTATAACTCATAGATTTCCATACAGCGACGATTGATAGCTAGACATTCCATTACAATTATTCGCAATTCCTAATTTCTTATAAAGTCAACAAAACAGAACAGGACATACAACGGGGCACGGTATTACACCAACCGCAGGTGGATTGCATACCTGGTAATATACGCTTCACATATTGTCCGCGATCCGACGCAGTCGGATTACCTACCTATGTGATTTGATGACTGATAGCTAGACAATCAAATACACATATCGATACTACAATTTTTAATAATTTCAACAACCAAAAGCAGCTGACTAGAGATCCTGGAGATCGTATCTATTTACAATGTTTGTGACGGATTGCTAGACGATCAAACTTTTAAATATTCCTGCCAATGCGCCAAGCCTTATCTCCAATCCATATCACTAATCCTAAACTTTTGACTTACAACCCTTGTGATTTTTATAATTCCAACGACATTGTCTCCGAAATCGGTACTCACTTACAAACAAACATTGGGGGGTCCGGGGGTTATGTTAGGTTAGTTCTTATTTTTTCTATATATAGCTGTGGGACGCTGTTCTGTCGTCGTCGCGTGCTTATCGCACCGACGACCGGGCATATTCTATATTTAATTAATTATAATATTTTATCTATTTGTGTTCAAAAATATACGCGTATACGCGGAATGACCCGACGACGTTCGATTGCTACTTTTATTTATTTTATTTTATACTGCGGCAATTTCTAGTTTTGTCGAAAAAATGTGATAATTTCCAACTTAAATTATTTCACATAATATACTGATACACATATATTAAACTAATAGTTAATATAAACGTTGAATACTAATAATAATAATAATAATAATAATAATAACAAATACTCACCATCAGTCTTCATTTCCTCGCCAATTTCCTGCCATATCCTTCCCTTCAAATCGGAATTTAAATACTTCGGGTCCTTCAAATCATAAAGGACCTGTCTGTTCCGCACCTACTCAAATCAAAAGTTCGTCGTTCATGATATAAATATTTTACATAAAAACAACTTACAATAAAATACACAAGTCAAAATTTGTATTTTGACGTCCGTGAAAAACAAAAAATATCGGCGACGACGTATTTTTTTTTCTATCACGGATGCCTGACGAGCACTGTGAACGTCGGAGCTTCACTGCGTCGGACGCGTGTAAACACGCATGGTCTATCAAGGTCTATTAATATTTTTTTTTTCACTGAAGCTCACTGATGTCACGTCACTGTTATGTGTGAATCGACCTTAACTGGGTCCAAAACGCCTGCGATACGTCGTAGCAATCACTTGCAATCACCAAAATGACAGAACTTCACAATCATGAAATTTCCCGGGTGTTATACAGTCATCTCCCTAATCAAAGGAAAATCACGCCTGCAAAATAAGGCTATTATATTAGAGCTGATGGACCTTAAGGCGAATAAAAAAATGATACAAAATAAGATAATGAATGATAGTGGCAAAATTATAACTTTGAAAGACTTGTCAAACATCCGTAGTACAGCCAGTAAGAAAAAAATTATAATTTAATTTAGTGATTTCTTTTTTTAATTTAGGTGATATTTCTGTAAATATTAATTTTTTTTTGAAGGAAAACATGATTCAAACAATAACTCAGTTGAAGTTATAAATAAATTGAAGACCAAACATAATTGCACAGTTGAAGTTTCAACAGATGAGGCGAATGACTTAAATGGAATTTTCATTCAAGACCAATTTATGGCTGAATCATTCTATGCATTTCCTCAAGTAATATTTTATTAACATTTAAAAATCTATTTAAAACTACAAAATTAACTAAGAATTTTCCAATAATGGTTTTAAAGGTAGTTTTTGCTGATGCTACATACAAATTAATTGACTTAAGACTGCCGGTATATGTATTGATGACGGAGGATGGAAACGGCCAAAGCGAAATAGCAGCAATTGGTATATTAGTTAATGAGGAAGAACAAACATTGCGCTGGTTTTTTGAAACTTTTAAAAAACATAATCTAATTTCAGTTAATACTCGGGTATACGTAACGGACAAAGACATGAAAGAAAGAAAAATAATCAAGCAAGTCTTCCCTGAAGTTTCATTAACTATATGTTTATTTCATGCATTAAGAACAATTAATAGGGAAATTACTTGTGACAAACGTCACGTCACACCTGATGAAAGGGATAGTGCAAAAAAAATTAATCAAAATCTAGTATACTGCAAGTCAGAATTGGAATATGACAATTTATACCAACACTTTCAGGATGTAGCACCAGAAACTGTTATTGAGTATTATTATAAAAACTGGCACGGAATACGGGATGAATGGGTTATAGGCATGACGAACATGACCGGAAATTTTCTAAACAAAACAAATAACAGACTAGAAAGTTTCAATGGTAAACAGAAATCTGTTATTTCTTGTTTTTCTACTTTAGAAGATTTTTTGGATAAATTATTTATTGTTTTAAGGATTAGAAAGGGATAAAAATGCTGTAAAATTAGTCCAGAAACAGCCTATTCAGATGCCACAAATTCCTGAACTGCAAAAATATTATACACTTTTAACACCGTATGCATTTAGTTTTTTTAAAAAACAATTTGAGTATGAAGACAAAATACTCTTCAAATTACAAATGAGTACACCTGTAATTGTATTTTTTACAATTCTATGAAACTTCTATGTCGTCACATCTTAAAAATTCGGAATCTGTCACTGACACCTTTGTTTGATGCTGATTTATGTGATGAAAGATGGTATTCTTATAGCCGGTTAAATTCTGTGATTTATTATATTATTATAAAAAGAATAACTATTGTGTATGTATTAACTATTAACTAAAACTAATAACTATATTATATTATTATACGACTATCGGTATTCGTAATTCGTATAGCCGATTAAATTCTGTGCATTATCATATTTTTATTTATATTTACAGTGTGACCCTGTGCTCTATTATCTATACGGGCGACCGGTGCTCTAGACACAGCGAATAAATTATTATAATAAGAAGTGGCTATTTCAGCGTCCGACGCGTATTTACCTATTTTCGCGTCCTATGCTGTGATTGGTCCAAATATTGATAATATCTTATCATTTTTATCATCTGATTTTTACCGCCTTAATTTAAATTTCAGATGAATTATTATTTAATATGCACTGGATGACTTCCCCCTCCCGCTAATCATCCCCATTCCATTTACTTATTGTAATACATTGTAAAATTATTTATAATTACATCTTTAACCGGATATATTCCTCAGTGGATAATCCCACAGATAAGAAAATACTCTTCAATAGACATATAGTATGTTCTATTATATTTGAGAGAAGTTATGTGTCAATCATATATAACCGGGTACATTCCTCAGTGGATAATCCCACAGATAACAAAAATTATTCTTGTAAAAATTATTCTCCTATTTTCAAGACAATATAGACATATAGTCTGTTGACTGTTATTTGCTGTCTATTTGAGTGTAACAGTTTGAGTGAAGTGAATCATATTTTAAATTTTTCTTTTGTGAATATAATATTATAATAGCTATGGCAGAAGCAACTCAAACATTAAAAAAAGGTGATGAGTTCTGTAGTTTGGTTAGGTTACAGGAGGCCATTAAAAGATTTGAAGACAGTGAAAACTGCAATCTATCAAAATTTAACACAAGGACAATCGAAGGTGCCAAACGTAAAGGATTAAAGAGGCATTTAAATCCAGAATTGGAATATGCTTGCTTAAATTATATGTGTGTTCAGGGAGGTGAATATACAAGTAGATCTAATGGGATACGCCCAAATCAAAGGTAAGTAACAATAAAATAATAACTTATCAGGCACTAATTAACATATATTATTTTTAACATTTTTAAACAATCTAAATATTTTGTTGATACATTAATACATTTAGTTCATATCGTTCGAAATGCCCTGTGGTGATATGTGTGCGACCTAATGATATAGGTGATAAGTTAGTAATTACTTCTATTGTTACTGAACACAATCATATACGGAGTAAGGTGAGAGAAAAAAAAAAACAATTTTGTTTTTACTATAATTAATATTATTATTAGGCAATCTTTGACCACTATCCACGCCAGCGAAGACTTGACTCTGATGCTAAATCAATAGCATCAAAATTAGTGGCAATGAAAGTCAATAAAAAAATCCTGCAGAATGAGTTGATGGCACAACATAATAAAGTAATAACTTTAAAGGACATACACAACTTGGCTTTAACAAATTCTCCTAAGTTAGACGCCTTAAAATCGTTAGTTGAAAGTTTTAAAAACAAACAAGGAGTTACTTTGGAAATACTGAAAAATAATAATAACGAGTTAAAGGCCATATTCTATCAAGATGATGAAATGAAAAGAATATTTGCATTATGTCCTGAAGTGCTATTTGTAGACGCAATATATAAAGTCAATGATTTGAGACTTCCACTTTATGTATTTCTAGGTTTGTACAATCTCTGTTATGTTATTTAACCTTTTGTAGTTGTCGATAGTAATGGGCAAAGTGAAGTTGTCGGTTATTCCATTCTAACTTCTGAAGACTTAGAAACAGTTACACATATGGCTTCAATTTTTAAACAGCATAACCCAAACTGGACCAATATCAAATGCATTATGGCCGACAAAGACTTCACAGAAAGAAATGTTTTTAGGGAACAGTTTCCCCAATCTAAAATATTAATTTGTATATTCCATTGTATGAGAACATTTTCACGGGAAATAACTACAGACAAAATGAATATAACTAACCTTACTTTAAATATAATGTACAATATAGTATGCATGCATTTTGATTTGGTTTTATTATTTTAGGACAACGAAACCTTTGCCTACAATTGGCACAAGAAATGGTATATGCCAAAAATGAAGACGATTACAGTAGAATACATGGTCAATTAAAAGACACAAAAATTACAAGCGTGGTAAAGTATTTCGAAAAAAATTGGCATACAATTAAAGAAGAATGGGTTGTATATTTTCAGTCAAAATATATGACATTAGGTATTTAACTCAAGTCAAAAGTGTTTGAATTTTATAATTATGAATTATTTATGATTTATTTATGCATACTTAGGAAACAGAACTAATAATCGTTTAGAGAGTACAAACCAAAAAATTACCCAAGTTGTAACAAAATTTTGTAGACTTGATCAATTATTTGAAGGTAAATTTAATTTAACTAAATATTACTAGTTATACTTACTTAAAATTCATTTGCAGGGTTGGAAATGTTAATGGTCACTTTGAGGACAGAGAGAGATCATGCTGCTACAGAATGTTTTTGTAAGACACCGAGTTTTGTATCTAAGTTGACCTACGAACAGCAACAAATGTTTTGGCATTTGACTCCATTTGCTTTTGATCTAATATTGCCAAAATTTGATTTAATGAACCAAGTACAAATAGTGTCTGTCGATAATCTAAATCAAACGGTCAAAATTAAATCGAGAGAAGGGGTGATTGAAGTTTCAAATGTGAAATGTGTTTGTTCATTTGTAACAAGTTTATGTTTACCTTGCCATCACATATTGAAAGTTAGGCAAATAAACAATTTGTCATTATACTGTCCAGAATTGTGTGCTGAAAGATGGTCGAGGAAGTATTATAGTACGGTGAGTAGAGTAATTCCTTCGAGTTTTGAATTAGATGTTGAAAGCTCCGGAAGTAAAGATATGGTAAATGTTACAACCGTATAACCCATTAAACCAAAGCGCATTTTAAATCAACACGAAAAGTATAGGAGAGCACATGTTGAGGCTAAGAGGCTTGCTTCTCTAACGTCAGAAGCAACAGGAAAAGAATACCTGCACAGATTAAACATTCTAAAATATATAGCAGAAAAGTGGGAGAATGAAAATACCATTAAACTTGAGGACATAGGTATATTGACCCAATAAAATAAGTAGGTCTCTACATATCAAATTTAACAATTAAATAATTATACCTTAGATAACTTACTGAGTCAAACAGAAGCCAATGACGATATGATACAGATGGATGACAATTTAATACAGATGGATGACAATTTAATACAGATGGATGACAATTTAATACAGATGGATGACAATATAATACAGATGGATGACAATATAATACAGATGGATAACAATATATTACACATGAATGAAGAGGAAACAGACAACATAGATATAGATAATATTTCAATAGTTAGTCAATTACCAACTTTACCTCCAAGAGTTCCAAAAAGAGGACGTCCAAAAGGTGATTGTATATTCCATATATTTTCAAATGATTATCGTTGATGAAATTTATTTTCATACTTTATATTTTAGGTAAAGACAAAACTGCTATTGGTATCGCAAAACGAAAAAGGTTTTAGGTTTAGTTCCTTTTGAAAAACTTGATGTTTTGACGAGACATTTTGAAATGTTAATATGGTTTGTGGATAAGGATGTGGCCAGTATTGCGGTATCTGGAAATGGATTTATAAGTGAAACGGCAATTGAAAATAATCCAAATAATATACATTGTGCTGTTTTAGACAGTAACCTTGCGATTGATGATATCAAAAGGTATTTTGACAGCGACGGCTGGGCTGCTCTAAAACAAGTTGTGGATATAAAGCGAATAAATCCAACATGGATATGCAAATGTTGCAATGAGGATTCATCGAACAATTCGATTTGTTGCAATAGATGTCTAGAGTGGTTCCATTTTAAATGTGTTAATGTTAAAACAACATTAAAAAAAAAAATATGGTTTTGCAGAATCTGTAAAGAAACTTACGATTGATAATATATTGATATATTATCTAGAACTAATATTATGACTGTATTTAAAAATACTTACTTTATACTCTGTGATTTATAGAATTTTATACATTTTGCTTTTAAATATTAATAAATAATAATATAAGAACGACTGATTTACATTATTTGTAATATACATATACATATAATTTTGGTATTTCGTAATGATAAGATATTATCAATATTTGGACCAATCACAGCATAGGACGCGAAAATAGGTAAATACGCGTCGGACGCTGAAATAGCCACTTCCATTATAATATTATAACTCATTTCTAGTCCATAAAAGTTATTTTATTTGATACTTGCTCTAAAATGTTACTTAAATGTATTGTTATACTACTTATTTTATAACGTTTTGTAGTTATAATATGTTATTTGTTATTATTATTATTATTATTATGTTGTTTGAAATTTTACCAAGGTAGGTAAATAAAACAAAAAACAAAATAAAAATGTAAATCAAGTTTAAAAATATTGTGTTATATTATTTAATTACTAACTCCTTAATTTTATTTATCATTTTATTCTTTAATTTTTTTTCATATTAAAAAATTTGTTTCAAAATGTACTTTTTCCGGAATAGATGCATTTTATAAAAAATTATTTTGATTTTTTGCAAAATGGACTAATTAATAGATTTTTTACAAAATGTTCGATTTCCAGAAATAGTACGTTTTGTTTAAAATTTTTTAGTTTTTTCAGTACGTACTTTTTCCAAATTTAATGCAAAACGTACTTATTCCGGAAAAGGTCCGTTTTGGAGAAAACGATTTTTTTATATATTAAAAAGGGCAATACCTAAATAAATTAAACAGAAAAGAAATTAATTTATAAACAGTATAAGAATATATTTTAGATTTTTTTAAAACCCTACTGGATGGTCTAAGCCAATTCAAAATACCCTAAACAGAAAATCTGCTCTACTGAAAAAAGAGAAAAATGGAAAAAGTACGTTTTGCATTAAGGCCCCTCATACTGATAACCACCATATTTAAATTTTAAGGTTTTGATAACAAAATTAATATTTCCATGTAGTCAGCTGATTTTTAGTTATTATAGTTTCGTGATAATCAAGGTGACCACCATTACCCCTTGAGCATAATTCCCCCATTATCCCCTAAAGATCACGAAAATGTGCAATCAAAAAATGTTCAATCCTTAGATATAAAAGTTGAACATTTTATACATTTTTGACTACAAAATAGTAATTAAATTTTATCAAAATTCGAACTTTAAATGCTTATCAAAAAATAATTTTCCCTAAGTATTTTTGATATTGTTCAACTGCTAATGTAACAATATATCAGGAATCTTGTATTAAATTTTTGCTCAGTTTTACCCAACAAATAAAATTTTATAGACAATTATAGAAAAAAAAACCTAAAAAAAGGTGGGCAAGTGGGTGTAGTTCTGCTGTACAGTAGGTTACAAGTGGGTCACTGTAATGTATAGTGTTAAATTTGAATAATACCGTTACATCTATAAGAAAACGATTCTGAGGTCAGTCAGCCTATGATATTACTACCTAAGTATATTATTTTGATGATATTATTATGAATAAAATAATTTATACATACCTATTTACGTGGAACCTTATTTTAAAATTTCAATCATTAGATATAAAAGTTGAACATTTTATACATTTTTTACTACAGTATAATTATTACATTTTAAATTTGAAACAATTTGTCAAAATTCGAAATTTTTTATGCTTATAAAAAATATAAATTTTATTGTGACTATAGTATTTTTAATATTTTTCAACTGCTATTGTAACAATAGGTATATCAGGAGTCTTGTAATCAATTTTCACGCTTTTTGCCCCAACAGATAAAACTTTATTGATATTCATAAAAAAATAAATAAAAAAATTGTAACAATGCAAAACACACTGGTCTTTATTTGTAATTAAATGTGTGTTTTTATTATCACATCTATCAAAATTAATCCCTGTGTTACAATATTTTCTTTTTAATTACACATTCGCTCTTCGAGCCACAGTCATTTTTTCCAAACATTAAGAATGGAACATGTAATACAATATTTTCTTTTTAATACATCAGCTCTTCAAACCACAGATATGTTTAATACTTTTATTAAATTGACAATATAAAAGACTCACAGTGGTCACCAAATAAATATGATTGAATACCAGTACTCCAAATCCAACGACAGCCTCAGGGAGGAGTGGTGTGTTGTGACTGTAGGTAGTACTCAATGCCTGTTTACTGCCGGAGGTGCGTGACACCTTGCCCCTGACAGGAACGTCCTCTTTCTCGATCAATCCTCTTTGACACCGTGGGTATTGATCGTCGTATATGTACTCACGGCGGTAATGAAACAATCTCGACCCGCAATGATGTAACTGCAACGTAGCTCGAAACCCGTGTACAGCGGTAATGACAATAAATTATCCCGTGACGATATGTAATATGTACGGTAATAATATCAACTCGATTCGCGACAACAGACAGCTGCGACGACAAAGCGGTGTATAATTCGTGCGGTAATAATATAAAAAAAAATCGTTCTGCGATAACGAACAAATGCGACGAACGATAATACGTACGGCGGAAATAAATTCAAATAATATTATATTGGTACCGGTCAGCGGCGCGAGAAACGGGTGCGGTTGCGATGTAGGCGCTAACAACGGCGGTGAAAATGGTAGACGCACGGATCGGCGGCAACGATGCGAGCGCGCATATTATTCGGCGGCGATGTCAATTAAACGGTCCGCTACTACGCGTGGATCTGTAGCATGAACAGTACAGTCTTGGCTGTACCACTACAGAATCCGCGTAGAGGGGCATTATGAATCCCTCTCCCACTATTTGAGTGTGAGTAGCTTGATCAGTACAGTCAAAGCTGTACGCCTGTACCACCACTCGCCCCGCAGGATAAGGGGAGGAGGTGTACCAGAAGGTACAGATACCAGGTTCGGGGACTCCGCGGCGGGATCCCCTAGGCAGCGTAATTAAGTTATACTGTAGCGAGAGAGTAACGAAAAGCGTAAGAATCGGACTGTTCAGCGGTAGGTGCCGGGCCGGCAAACTTTGGCTTCATCTATATCTGTAGCCCTCGGCCAAATGATATGAGGTGGTATGCTTGGTTTTTGATGTCGAATTTCTGTGTTGTATGTGTCTTCGGCTATGGGCGGCTATATTAGTTCGTTGTAATATCTTGTTATGTAGACTATACGTATGTTGAGTGGACGAACTTTGACTTCTGCACTTGTCAAAGTCGCGAAAAATTGGTCGGTCGCAGAGCTTTGATCCCGACCTGCGCTCTGTACTGTGTTCTTATCACTCACGCTGGGGAAACAGGTTCGTAATTGACATTAAAACGTGTTCACAAGAGTGTTATGATAGTAAATCACGTAAACTATTATTACTTAACGATATTCAAGTTATACCAAACTTGGATATCGTACTTATACAACGTTAAGTCGATAAAAGTGCATACCTATACATTATTCAGTAGGTACCACGGACTTCGTTCGTGAGCGTCAGGCCACCAATAAATAACGTCAGCTATTCCAAAACCTGCTCGTTTTGTCCCGTTACAAAATTTAAATTTAAAATTGTCAGCAAAACAAGTCAAAATATTTTGATAATTTTAACAAGTATAGGAATTGATAAAATAAACATATGATATAAATTTCAAGAGTCTATGGTTATTCGTTTGTGTAACTTGGAAATTTTATAAAAATATACTAAATTTATTTTAATTGATTTTCGTTCATGACTTTTTATTTAGATGAGTGAATGTTTAAAATGCAGCATTATACAAAATACAGTCATAGGCGTGCGCAGCCTCCGGTTTCAGGGGCAGCAAGAGATTAATTCGGCCCATTTTTCAAATTCACCATTAAAACCAGCTCATAGTTTTACTTTTTTTACTATTGAATATCAAAATAAAAATTGTATTGGTTATTTGTTTTTTTGGATAAAAGGTTGTACAGTAAGGTACTAAGCCACTAAAGGTGTACTTTTCTACAAGCCTATATAAAATATTTATCTATAGTTTATCAAAACAAAATAAAATTTTGTGGAAATATAATTTTACCGAGGCCCATTATTTAATATTTGTCGGCCCCGGTGGCCCCAAAGAAAGTCCAGGGGCAGCATATGCTGCCTCTGCTGCCCCCGTGCGCACGCCTATGAATACAGTTAAATTATTTCAACTGCATACATTTTTTTGTTAATGAATTATACCTATACATTTTTAAACTAATTAAATTTAATTAACATGCATTTTTTTCCACATATTTTTGCATATTTTAAGTGAATATTTGAATGAAAACCAGTGCATAAATGCAGAGGCGGCTTGATCATGCATTTTGTGGTTCACTGAACCACCAAAAAGTTTGGGGTGGGTGTCATTTTAATAGGTAGGTAATAGCAGTGCCGCTCTAACCACCAATAACGCCCTAGGGCAACAATATTTGACGCCCCTCACCCTTCCACCAAAAAATCTCGACTTCGCATTTTTAGCTTATAATTAACCACATACCTTAAATATGTTTAATACTTATTAATTAAAGGTTCCTACTTATTTTTTTAAATATTATTATTGGAATCATATTTATTTTGTTTCTAGTTGAACACCGATTTCATTATTCTGGGAACACTCGTACATTACAGAAAGAAAATATATATAACTATTTTCACAAATGAGTACCTAGATTTCATTATAAATCATACGTTCTGCGTTTCTGCGTGTGTAATAACAGTGTAGTATAACAGTCAACATTGTAAATTGCACAAGTGAATATAAGTGATTATAAAATTCAAAGGTGGGCATTAACTAGTTGAAAAGTTAATTTTTTTTTAACTTTTTAACTTAACTAGTTAGTTTATTTTCTAATCAACTTATGAACTTAAATAGTTTAATTTACAATTGAAATAACTTAGCTTTTCTCAGTTGAATTAAAAAAATCCATTAAGTTAAAACATTTTGAAATTGTTCGTTTATACT